GATCTCCCCTTGCTGTCGTGGATTCGAATCCCTCCTAGACGCTGGCTTCTTCACAGTTAGATCAATACGAATCATTCGCTCATTGTTCGAAAGTGGCAAAAAACGAAATGCCCTTAATGTACACCACGAAGCGAGCATTTACGAACTTTGACAAATAGGTCTTCTCAGAGATTTTCGGAACATTCATGTAGCCGCACTTGGAATACGGCATATAATCTGGAGATCGTAGGCGGTTCAAGATCAAAATCGTCTTCAAAGAGTCCAGGGAGCCGCGAATATGATTAAGGGTCGAAGCTCCTTTCCCTCTGCAATCTACATAAGGAATCCGAACCATTTCCTTCTGAGTTCTACGCGCCTGTTTCGAGGATCTTTTACAAACACTCCGAGTTTTTAAGCGATCGAATTGCAGCCTTGTCCTTGAGAACTTTTTAACTTGCTTCCAAGGCTAACCTACGAGGTCCATCATTAAAACTGCGAATTCAACGAGCAAGACAGGTGAAAGTTCTCCTCCTCTGTCAGAGTTGTCAAACCATAGGACGTCCTCCCCGCAGATGTTTTGATGTCACAATCGATAGAATGCCTTAAAAGGAACATTGACGTATTCGTGTTACGAAATGAACGAAAGTGATGAGAGATTGGCGAGCGATAAACGGGGAAGATGATGAACGAACGCTGCTAAAATAACTGAACCACCCATGCGAATGGTCCGACAAATGTCTGCTAAGGTTTACCCTTTAGAAATGCGTCGCACTGCGACTCGAAATGAATGGAAGAGCTGATGAAGAGGATCACAATTATCTGCGTGGCGGAAGGAGCCTTTCAAATGTGACAACGAAAGATCTTCCGATCAACATTTTGTCCACTCCTCGGCCCTCCTTTCAATGCGTTAGGGCGGCCAAAAAGGAAACCGATGTTCTTTTCGCCATTAAACGAACTTTTATTTATATATATATATATATATATATATATATATATATATGGACAAAGAGTAATTTGGGAAAGTATACGGAGCGTTCATTCGTTCGCATCTGGAATATGGAATCCAATCGCGGCGCCCATGGCTGAAAAAAGACTAAAAGTTGCTGGGAAGAGTTAAGGGGAGAGGGAGCAAAATCATGAAGGGCCTCAAGACTTTACAATACAACTGCAGACTCGTGCAAAACGAGTTAAGATTTCCAATGTTATCTTCAGCCCCACATGCTTGAAGAATAGAGTCATTCAGGGTAGTGTCCTTGGCCCGCCATTATTTTGCCTTTTTTGTTAACAATGTGCCAGATTAATTCCAGAATGGTAAGCTTTCCATGTGTGCCAATGACCTGATAGTTTCATATAGATATAAACCGGTAGATCGTGACGTCGTGCTCGAGCTCCTAAAGAGCTACCTACAGACTTTTGCCCAGTGGTGCTGCACATGGCAGCCTTTTTTTCTTTTGCTTAAAGCCTCAGCCATGGGGGTTGCCGACGACCACCAGCTTGAACTATGTACCTACGGTCACGGCGCAGATGTGCCTGAAGTTGTTAAAGATCTAGGTGTATCATAATACAAAAGTCTTAATCTTTCGGAGCACTGCGCCCTGATAGATTTTAGAGCACGTAAAACGACCTGGTTTATCCTCCGAAACTTTAAAGGTAACGATATAAGAATGCGCCCTTATAACACGTACGTTAGCCCAGGCCTGAAATACTGTTCGTTTTTATTTAGCCTCATGCGTGCCGCTGAGCGGATGAAAATAGAATCCTCCCAACGTTTTGTTACCAAGAGAGTTTTAACCCCGGAAAACCGGAATTTGTCTTACCAAGGACGTTGCCGGCTTACAGGCCCTGATCCTTTTCGGCTTTTTAGATTAAAAAAGAGACTATTATTACTATTTAAACTTTTATATAGTCGTGCCATAAAATAAATGAAATAACTTTATTAAAGACTCATCGGGATTCCATCAAAGCAAGTAAAAATAAATTTTTATAGGAATTTTAGACGATGTGGGCAGAATCTTTAAAAAATGCAATTCATAGTTTCGGAATTAGTAGTCCGTTAAGAAACTGATGAGCGAACGGGGAAAAAACTCATTCAAGAATTTAAAAAACGATAGGTTTATCTTTAAAGAAGAAAAAGTTGTCGCTCATGAAAGGGCAAAAGTGCGGGCGGGACCAGCCTGTATGTGGCGGTGTATAACGGATTATAAACGGACATCGTCAGGGCAGAATTCATACACCGGATGAGACTATTCGCGTAAAAGTGGTGAGACGAGGGGAACCTAGACGCGATCGGTCACAGTCCGCTCTGAGCTCAGCCGAGGAGTGGGCAAGGGAGATACGACCAAACTACTAGAAGACAGCGAATACAGAGGGTTCTGCCGTGAGCGTCGACAGACCACTACAGGTTGAAATGAGATGACATCAAGAACCGCGAATATCGTCGCTATGGGGGAGTAGACATAGCAGTGGATTTAGTAAACAATTTAAAATAGAATTTAACAGGTTTATTATAGCGCCCTCGGGCACTCTCAGTCTCCATTTTGGCTCAGGGGGTTTGTAAGTGGGGAGTCCACTTGATCGACCACCGAATCTCAGTAGGACACTACCCACAATCAAGAAGCTGATTGTTCGGAAATGAGACGGTTAAAAGTGTCATTATACTTTCCGGCGTAAAGTGTTCGCGTAATTTCGATTTGAATAACGATAAATTAGGCGAGGACTTAAGATCTGGTGGAAGATTATTCCAAAGGAAGGCATATTTGGAAGCAAAGAAGCGGGAGCGCTTATATGTTGTGCAAAGAGACGGTGGAATCACCATGAAGGAGTTACGCGTGGCATAAGACCGATCTCTCGGAGTGAGAGTGTCAGTGAGCGGAAGACTGGAGCTAGAGTTGATACGAAAAAGGAAGCAAAGGCCAGCTTCGAGTCTTCTAACCCACAAAAACTTAATGTTCGCCAGCTGACATCTCTGAGTATAAGAAGTACCGGATGCGACTTGAGAGAAGAAATTCCAAATGAAACCCCTCTGAACATTTCCGATCTTATAGCGGCCGCAGGCGTTCATTAAACCAAAGAAAGGACAGCAGTATTCGAGGTATGGGAGAAAAAACATTTGAGGATATTCTGTGATATGAATGCACATATCTGCGCGGCTTTGGCAGAGATTCTATCTGCATAAAGTGATAAAGCAAGCTTTTTTGTATAACTTAGACCTAGGTCCTTTATGGTGAAGCATTTTAAACGTGAATTATTCTGAAAAATTATGTGACCAGGAGACTTTGCAGAGCCAAAAGACATGAAACTGCACTTGGATGATGAAAACTCCATATGCCATGTTGAACTCCATCTGCTTAAGCGTAGTAAATTGGTATAAATTTTTTCTACACAAAGGCTTTTAGTGTCCTCAGAATATGAGTAAACATACTTGAGATTATCGGAATAGGTAAATATTTGCAAATTTCCGAGTGTTTTGTGCACGCCCTGATGGTTATTAACTTTGGATCGAGATCCAGACTTTAAGACAGGAATGATAATTGACGTTTTCCATGTCTCAGAAAAGGATCCTTTTGAAATATAAACTGAGAATAAGAGACGAAGCAATATGGGACAGTCGGATGCCTATTTAATAATCGAAATTTTAATCATATCCGTTAATGAGCAGTGTGAGAATTTCAAACGAGTTATGTATATCTTAATGAGATCTGACGAAACATCGATTTGACTCAGTGTCCTATCTGAAAGTGAACGAAAGAAAGGGACGAGTTTGAACTCAGTATTAAGATGTTTTCCAAAGAAAGCACTAAATAACTCCGCCTTGTCAATGTCATATATGAGACAGATTTTGTTAACATTTAGCAGGGGTGGAAGTTCGTGACCATGCTTAGAGGAGGACCGATGACGAAAGATGCTAGCAACGGATTTGGCAGGGTTCGAATCACTGCGATCAAGTGATTCTCTTTATCTGTTGCGCGATTGGCGCATCCTTGAGGCCACGTCAAAAATTTCTGTGATTCTAACATGAACGAAGAAAGAACTAGTGGATGGATCACGCAGCTTCCGTCTCAACTTATAAGTCTCTTGCGTAGAGAATAAGGAATAAGGGAAGCTGAAGAATTAGACTTGAGATGTCTACGCGGCATAAGCTCTAGGATGGCCTTGGAAACACTGAACATGGCAAAACGATGAATGGTTGTATCTCTATAGCACACAAATTCAATGATCTATGTATTATAGTCATTTATTAAGTCGCTATCTACGCAATCGTAATCTAATTACGTCCGAACTCTGTTGGTCTCTTTTGAAAAGGCAAGCGGGCGTGGACGTAGAGATTTGAATGCTTAAATGTAAGTCTATCAAGAAAAATGCTTGATTAAAACAACCGCTGTTCGATATGATTTCCTACTATGTAGTGACCGATCGAGCGGTGGTGCCGGATCACGGGATATGAAAGAAGAGGATGTTGGTAACTTGAGCTAAGAGAGTCCAGCCGACTGGAAGAACTGTTCTAAAAGGCCTTGCACATCAGAGTGGACGGGATCGGGATGAACAGGCATAGGGGAGATAGGATAAGCAGCACAGGTTCGAAAAAATACAAGTTTATTCCAGTATACAAAAATGGGAAGAGGAAAGCCAGGCTAAGGAAGAACGGAAAATACAATGGAACGACTTATCGTGAGGGGTCGGGGTTTATTCGTCGGCACGTGACTTTAGACGCGTTGTTCCTGCGAGTGAAACGGAAGAAGAATGCCACTAACGTGACAGTACATTAAAACACTCACGATCGGTCCCTGGTCAGATCTCCGACTGTTACAACTACCCCTGCAGTCAGCTCAAAATATTCTAAGAACCGTAGCGGAAAAATACTCAATCAAGGAAAAGGCGGCAACGTCCAATAGGAAATGTGGCGAGGCCTGGCGACCCTATAAGATGCCTCCCCGCTCAAACCCCGGGTTATTCATCGTTCTGTCGATCGGCATTAGTTTCGCTGGCGTTATATTTACTACTCTGTTACTGGTCGTCACGGGATGGTATTACCAGATTCCTATGCCAAAGCTGGTCGCCGTCCGTCACAATCAGTTCGTAACGACTTTTACTACGGGGGCCTCAATGTATCTTTCAAAACAAAATCAGAGGAAATCGATTTAAGTTTTTCAAATACTAATTTGTCGGAGCGAAATCCCGAATTCCGTAAGTATTTTACACTTATCCTCAGTTTGTCACCAGGACAAACGCTGGAATTTAGGCCATTTTGTGGACTGTCAATTTTAAGCCAGTTAACGGACTGGGAAGATTTCCTCGGAACATTCAAGGTGGCAAGTGACCGACACCATTTGGTCCACGAGGTCAGCTATCGTCTTAAAGGCCCACGATTAACCTCGTCATTTCGAAATCCATCCTATAAAATTGGTACGAAGACTACATACCGTTCTGACTCACTTGTTGGTGAGTGTGGTCTCACGTTCCATTCATTATGGCCTCGTGTCTACGCAGCCACCCTCCTCGGGTAAATCATTCATTTCCATTGTAACTGGTAGACATGGGGATTTTTTTGTAGGGTCTAAGCTGTCATTTAATACCAGACAACCATTCCATTACAAATATGGTGTCAAATTTGGCTACTTGACCGAACAAGTGGAGCTTTACGGAGGCTACTCAAGTATACGTGGCCTTTCCTTTGGAATCATCTCATCGAGAGGGCCATTTCAATGTATTTTATATTCCGACTGGTGCAAGATTGCAGAGAGCATGTGTTCTTCACTGGCCATCAAGTACTGGATCACAGATGGATGTTTCATCAAGGCATCTCTAAATGATCATCTGATCTTGGGTGGCAGCATTGGCTTGAGATTATCCCCTGGTATGTTGAGCTTACTTCCGCCGAAGACAAAACAAGTAATTTAAGAGTTTTGACGACTGCCCGACCACGTCGTCTGGCTTTTTTATCGACACGAGTGCCGAGCACATCAGAAAGCCTATGGAACTTTTTGTGGTTGCAAATTACGCGTCAGCCGTTTTTCCTTTGTCGTCTAGGCTAGAGCTCCTTCAAAGCCATCAGTAATCGGCAGCTTTGAAAGTACAGACAGTTCATACCGTTCACACACACACACATATATATATATATATATATATATATGAACAGGAAAGTGGGCATTCTAGAGATTTAATTGGGTAAAGGAAACTCCCTTGGGAACTGGAACTTTTGCGCAAATTTTTGAGGGTGGCCCCCCAACTCTTCTTCAGACGGTGTACAGGAAAAATTAACTTCTTAACTGGGTTCAACAAAAAATTGGCCAACGTCTATGCCAGCACATGTTTATCAAATTTCGTCACTTTTGTGGGATTGGTTGCGCCAGTTCGAAATTTTCCTTAACGATTTTGTTTGCGGCATCTGGATCGATATGCCGGTTGCATGCCTCATCTAAGCGCATTGCTTCCAGGAATTCGCGGCCTGTTCTTATTGGGCAGGCGCCAACAGTACGGGTGTTCTCCCACCCAAATTTGTGTCTAGTTTGTGCTTGACCATCCGGGATAGGTGGTCGCATCTCTTCACCGCTAACTGATGATCATGTACACGGATTGAGACATATTTTCGAGTCTGGCTATAGTAGACGGCATCACAACTAGTACATGGGATTTTGTAGACAACACCTTTTCTACGGAAGTAGCCAACCCTGTCCTAAGAGTATACAAGCTGTGTACGCAAGCTGGTTGTAGGTTCGTGTGTTCCCAACGAATCTTACATATTTCAAATTTCATTTCTTAGAATGCCCATTTTCCATTATATATATATATATATATATATATATAGGCAGAATAGCATTACCGACAAAGCTGATAAAGCGAAGATGCGCGTCCCCGGACATAAATGAGAAGAAGAGACGATCTCGGGAACCATAATTGTATTGTCCTGACGTTTCAAAATCAAACAAGATTTCATCGTCGGAGGTGAGTTTTGTACCACGCCTCACAGTATTTATAGGTGGTGATGGTCTCCTTTCAACGGGTTTACCTCTCGTCGGGGGCCGGCGTTCGGGCGCTAGCCGTCATCGCACGTGTTCGCATGGATCTTAGTTCTCGTCCTAGGCTGGCAATCTTCTTTACGACCTCGTGACGGCCTGTGTTCTCACCTGCCGGATGAGTGGCAGTGACACTGGCACCTTCTTCAGGTCCGTTTCTGTTACTGCGACCGTCCGTTCTCTCACCTGCCGGACAAGTGGGTGTCGCGACTGTTGTGACGATCGCACCTTCGCCAGATCCAAGTTGAAGTGCAGCTGCGTTTGTGTCCCCCGTGGGTCTTAGTTCTCGTCCTCGGCTGGCAATCTTCTTTACGGCCCCGCGACAGCCTACGTTCTCACCTGCCGGATGAGTGGCAGTGAAGCTGGCCCCTTCGTCGAGTCCGCTTATGTTACTGCGAACGTCCGTTTTCTCACCGGCTGGACAAGTGGGTGTCGCGACTGTTGTGACGATCGCACCTTCGTTAGATCCAAGTTGAAGTGCAGCTGCGTTTGTGTCCCCCATGGACCCGGCCGTAATTGGGTTCCTTTCTCCTCGTAACCCGCGTTTATTCGCCTGTTCTCTGAGCTGCGTCCGGAGGGCCTGGTAGGCTTCGGGAAGCGCTACACAGCGGTTGATGGAGTTCGTGCTGGTGTGCCAGGCCTCAATTATTTCCCTGGTCACGCGATCATTTCCTCGGCCCAGGATTTTGGCACTCTGGAAAGCGAATGTGTGTCCAGAGTTTGCGCAGTGTTCTGCCACCAGGGATAGCTGGTCCATCCTCCTTACGGCCCTCATGTGTTCTTTAACACGGGTCTGGAGTCGTTTACCGGTCTCCCCAATATAGTTCATCTCGCAGGAGCTGCATTGGATCCGATAAATCACGTTTGTTGTTTCACCGGGTGGCAGCGGGGTCTTGGGTCTCATTACCAGATGCCGGATTGTTGACTCTGGCCGATGGGCAATGCCGATTCCCAGTGGCCTTAGGAGACGGGAGACCGCCTCAGAGACGCCGTCAGTGTAAGGAAGGGCTCGCCAGACTTTTGGTCTTTCTGTCACTGGGCTTCGGCTTGGCACAGGCCGCCTGTTGCGTTCTATAAAATTTCGAGGATACCCGTTCGCCATGAAGAGGCGCTGAAGGTGGCGTAGTTCCGACCTTTTGTCGTCTGGCTCGCTGCAGTGTGTGTCTGCCCTTTTGTATAGTGTGCGTACACAGCTGCGTTTGTGGGACAACGGGTGCTTGCTGTGGTAGCTCAGGATTTGGCGCGTATTGGCGGCCTTCCTATACACCGTTGTTTTCAGGTGTCCATTTGGGTTCCGGTGAACCAGTACGTCTAGGAACGGTAGTTCGTTGTTGCTTTCGGCCTCCATTGTGAATTGAATATCAGGCGAAACCGAATTGAGGACATTGTGAAAGGTTTGAACCATTTCCCGCTTGATGATGACAAAGGTATCATCAACATATCGAGCCCAAAATTTTGGCCTGTAGGTCTCGAAGACTTCGGTCTCTACCTTCTGGAGAACTGCTTCTGCGATGAAGCCTGAAAGCGGCGATCCCATCGGCGTCCCCTTGGTCTGTTCGTACACCCTCCCGTCGAAGGTGAAGAACGTCTTCAGGCATAATTTCAGCAGTTGAATGAGATGAGTCCGTTTTACACTTTCTTCCGTCTCGTCGTACTTGCATTCGAGCAGTTCGCTAACCGTTTGGACTGCTAGGCATTGCGGGATCGAAGTGAAGAGAGCGGTGACATCGAATGACACCATGACCTCGTCTTCGCTGAGTCGGATGCCTTTGAGCCGTTCTAGGAATTGAGCCGCTGAACAGACGGTCGTGGCTGCGTTCGAGGTGAGAGACCTCAGTTTTTTTCTCCACAGATGCCTTGACAACCATGTGCTTCCCAAGAGTCTGTCTTACAGGCCACCGGTGAACACAAGTCTGGCAAAACGGTGGGTGACTCAACATGACAGACGAATGATTCGGGCACTCCTCCAAGACTGCCACCTTCGACTGCGCAAATACAACGGGGTTATACGCCAAGAGGTTGCAAAGTGCACGGACGTCATCGGTGAAGACGGCGTCACACTGTTACAACAAGTCATCGATAAACGGGCTAGAGAGCTGCGGGCACACAGGGATGCTGAGCTGGCCACTAAGCTTCGAAGTATAAGCCACTCATCTCCGGGAGAAGACGAAATCCTTGTCCACAATATGTCCTCCAAACAGCTGACTCCTACACAATTGAAAGTACTGAGTCATGAAGCTTGCTTCAACACCGCAGACGCCGATCCGTTCAATCTCGTGGCCATGGTCGAGTCGATCCTCAAACAAACCGGGGAACCGGACGAGACAACGCATCTCATTCGGCAACAGGTTACCTCCTTGGTGATGGCGCACAAACCACGTGCCATTATTACCAAAGCGGAGCAGAGCGCTCTCAAGGCACTTAGGAATGATCGGTCGTGTTACTGAACTCACCCGTCCCGTTGTGCCTTAGGGCTCTCGCTCTCGAGCCCAACCAGCAGCTGCATATTGGCGCGTAATATAGGAAGGCAGTTGCCGGTTGGTGTACTGTGTATTTGAGATTTTTTAGGTACCTTTCAACTACTTCAGATACACTTCTTACATATGAGAGTGTTCGCCAGGTAATTGGTTTTGGTGCCCGAATGGCCATAACATTGGAAATACCTTCCCTTTGAATTGTTGGTGTCTCATGCATTGACGTACGATGTCATTCGGGTGCCCACTTTGGGAAAATAGTTTGCGTATGTATTTCATTTCTGCTAGATAACGTTTCATCAGAACAGTAAGTTTTGGCTCGATTCAGAAGGCTGTAGACCGCACTTCGTTTGTAAGAGATAGTGTGGTTACTCTTGAAATGTAGGATGACCTCTGAGTATGCCTCTTTGCGATAAACTGATGTGTGAGGTGATCCATCATTTGACCCAATTGTGAAAAATTTGGCGGCCTCGTCGAGTTTAGAACGCACGACAGCAAGGGCAAAGCCTAGTTACAGCCAACGCTCTAACCGCCTGAGCCACAAGGGCCTACCGGAAGCCTTGAGTATAATCATATTTGGCTCGAGTTATCCGCCTAGCCTCCTCAACGTATGGAATCTGCCAATTCTAATTCAGTAAGCTGGCTGCTAAGGCAGGATTTCCTATGCAGTGAATCTGGAATCCACCAGATGACTACTGGACTCACTTGATTAATCGAGAGAAGCTGAAGTACTTACATGTCCCATTTGAAGCCAACGGTTGTCCGACCTCCGTCATATGCAAATGTCTCAGGAGGCCCCACTCTAGGCGGTCGTACGAGAAAAAAAAACAAAAGTTCGGGCTCTTGATCCCCTACGCGAAGAACCTTTCAGAGGCTACGGCGAAAATCTCGAAACCGTTTGGCATTGGTACGGCTCATAAACCAGAGTCAGCAACCGAACAGAACAGCACGAGGCCCAAAGACCCACTACCAGCAACAGACTAACCGACGGTGATCTGCAGCATACCACGCCCAAAATTGCGATGCAGGGTATATTTGTGAAACGGACATACGCACTGGCACAAGATTGTACAAACACCAGCATGCAGTCACAAACTACCGCAGAACCACAGTTGCGCCCATGAGAAAGCGAGCGTGATCGCCCGTGCCAATGCTAAGGTGGCCAGACTTATGTTCGAAATCTGGTCCTCGACTGACACACTTAACCGAGCCATAGACCGGCATCCCGTCTACCAGGCGCCACGCACAAAACTCGAGTCAGCTCGGACAGGGCCAATAGAACGGGCGAAAGGAATTGTGCAAGACCGGCAGCCAACGCCCTCTAAGGATAGGGGAAGAGCCGATGGGAAGTCGTGTGGCCGGCATGACACATTGTCTCGCCGACGCGCTCGCTACGGCGAAAGCAGTACGCAAGAACAGCAGCAACCAATCAGTCCACCGGCTGACTAAGGGGGGGGGGGTAGGTAACAAGCACGCTGACTTAGCTGTAGAGGGGATAAGTCACGCTTTCCCTCCAATGGTTAACTTCGGAGAGGCCAAAACCAGCTAGCAACAAGCAGGTAGGCGAACGTACGGGCCTCATGCACGGTTGTAATGCGAGACAGGCGGCATGGCTGAATAAATCAAGACCAGCATGGTGAGTAACCGCACTCGGTGGTGATTAATGGCTATCGTTGAGCGCTCCCCCACCAGTGTAGTTTACCCGATCGCAGCCGACAGGATAACCAGCATGCGGCTCAATGATTAAGGCGTTGAATTTCTTACTAACTGGTCGCGGATTCATGTCTCAGGTTTTGCAAAGTCTGGGTTCGGACGGAGCCGACGGCCAACAAGCTGGAAATGGCCATCCCAATCTCTCTTGCCTTTGTCTGTAATTTCATGCGGCTTTTGGTTATTGGGTCGAACGCTCTACCATTGATCCGCGGGCCTTTTGTTCTGTCGGTTGCGTTAGGGAATGTTAACTGCTTAGGAGTTGCGTCGACCAATCTGGTTACGGTACACGCTCGTCGCCTAATCTACCTCAGTCTCGTTGGTTTCCCTCTGAATATACTAATATTCGCTATGCGACTGTGAGTTTAAAAATGTGTATCCCGCCCAGCCTGGTCCAAACTATGTTTACAGATATTATTATTTGGACACGGAGTTCATCCCATAGGAGGTGACTGCTCTAAATCCTTAACTTACGTGAAACCGTGAAACCGGATGTCATGAGTTTGGGTTTTAGTTCAGTGTACATAAATTCTGTTAATAGAACATGGCCTTGTGTTTGGATTACGTCATGGACCAGAGCTTGTTGGGGAGAGAGCGATGAATAATGGACCTCTGCAAGGTCTATTTTGCTTTAGTATTCCGTGCTTCATGAAAATGTATTTTCTAGATGTTCGCTCGGTCCTGCTTCGTTGCGAATAAGAGGAAATTTAACTCTCGTGTTTCAGGGACATTTGTATCTGCCTCGATCCTGCAAGCGCCGGAATCATACTCAGCCTTTAACACTCAGTTCGGGCTTGGTTTTGACATTGAGAAGTGATTTATTTCTTCGATTTCGTTTTTATTTTGCTGACTGCTTTTGACCTTTTGATGAACTCTCTTGAACTATTCTATATTTATACTTTTTGATCCAATATGTACGGCCAAATACAAACATGTCTGCTTGCTCTCTGTTTTTTTTCTGCTCATCAAAAAATCAAACATGAAGTCAGGCCTGGCGCTCCCCAAAGAGGCAAATTACTCTAATTTGGACCTTCTTGTCTCCGGACTCCTAGGAGTCCGCGGAATCAAATCCCTAACTGGTCGTCAGTATCGTCGATTGGGACCCTATGGTAGAGAGGCTCTTATAAGATGGGCAGATCTCGTTGGAAACATCGTTTCGTATCATATTTAAATAACCAGTGAATGGTTGCATGTCACTGCTGCTTTATGAGCTGAGTTGAGGACTCGGAGCCCAAACTAGGGTTAGAGCAGCGGTTATTTGACCTGCAAAGGACAAATCTCAACTGGTGTTACGTCCCCTTTAAAAACACGCTCTTCCTGCACACCGGACGCAGATCTTAACGCCGCAGGCATTGTAAGGTATTATGAACAAAGACAGGTAGATTGAAATTATTATTTCTGTCTTGCCTGACTCCATCAGCAAACCATATCCCGAATCCGAGACTGACAGGACCTACGGCTTAGACGCTCCACTACCGAGCTGCTGACTCGTCCCCTGTTAGTCGCTGTTTAGAGTTCTATAAGTACGACGAGAGTTTGACCGTCGGCTTCGACTATGTCCACCATGTGCTCCTCAGCAGGGCCGGTGACTTCCGCGTGAATGAGTTTATAATGATGGTAGACTTGCACATCATCGACTACAATTCCTCCCCCATCTAGGCACGGTGTCAAGACAGTCAAGAAGATCGGACGGGATGGAGGGCGCAGGTGGATGGCACGGTCGAGCCAGCACTTTGACGCTCCACTCCACACCCTCTGGTCCACACAGCAAACGACCAGGACTCTAACTACCATCGACAGGAGGGGCTGTCTCGGCCGAAGCCGCACCTTGGCGTGCTGCCACACCTGCTTCGGATCTCACTGAGTGGGAGTGCCATAAAGGCCACATTAAGAAGGGGCCATAGCAGCCTGACTCTTAGACCACCAGTCCGCCGCTCTACACAAACACAACACTGGATCGACTGCGGGGTCCGTGTTATCCCGTCGGTTGGCAATCTTCCAAGCCACGGTTTTTGACGCACTGTGATAGCGTCAAGCACGTCATATTGTTTATAATGGGGAAAATGCACTGAGTCGTCGATCTCACTTTCCCTTACCATGCCCCAGCCACTGTTCGAGGCGATCAGTTGACAGGTGCGGGGAATGGGGGCAGTGGCTGAAGTATATAGTGATCTTGTCTGCGCGCGCCGCAGGCATGACCTGCCCCCCCCCCCCCAAACGCAAGCGCCAGGATTTCACACAACGGGGGTTGAACGGCATTCATCTCACACGCGTGAGATTGTCGTAGGTCACGTTGGGAAGGAGACGCTTCAGCCTGGCTCCCAGCCCATCAATCTGGCACTCCGCACAAACACTCACATGACTGGGCAGATTGCGTGGACTGAGTTGGAACGTCGGTCAGCAGCCTTCCAAGCCACGGTGCTTGATGCACAGCGATAGTCTCAAACTCGGATCACACATGCAGCCGAGGAACCGCATGGAGACGGAGCCTAGACGCGCACCTCCCACTTGCGTGGGAGGTGGCAGTTGGATGCTTGTGGTGGGTGGTGATGTGATGGTGTGGTGTGGTGTAGCCGGTGCTTGCCTACCGCAGGTTTTTTGAATGCGCATGCAGCCTAATAGGCCCATGCGGTGAGTGAATGTGCGGGGGGCGGTTGAGGCAGATGCGTCTGGTGTATGTTGGTGCCCCAGGCACTGGCTCGCCAGTCTCCGTGCAATGGATCGGCCATGGACCGACCAAGCCGATGTATGAGGTGAATGTACGGGGAGTGTCGACAGGCAAAGTCGGTGGTGTCGGTTTAGGAGACGGTGGACACGCTGGGCGACGGGGTGTGCGTTGGGTCAGGCTTGGTGGGTGTGCATGATGTGCTGAGTGTGATGGGGCTGGTGGTGGTGGACGTTCTGGGCGGCGGGTTGTGAGTTAAGCAAAGCATGGTGGATGTGCAAGACGTGCTAGGTGTATCGAAACTGCGCCCAATTCTGCTCTCATGGATAAACATGTGACTGAAGAGGCCCTTGCGGGAAATGAGTGTGCGGAGGCAGTGTAGACAGCGAAGGCGAATGCGGCGGGTGTAGGTTCGTGCTCCAGGCACCAGTTCTCCAGTGTCTGTGCGATGGATTCGCAGATGGTCGATGTGTGAGGTGAAGGTGCGGTCGCAATGAGGACAGGTAGGGATCGATTCCGCACTGCTGGTGTTGACAGTGGGGAGGTTGATGCCTGTTGGTGTGTCAGGATTGTATGCAGGGGTGTTGGGTACAGGAGCCGCCGTAGCGGATGTTAAGGCCCTGGGGGAGTGGGGGGATGGTAGTAGGGGTTCGGGATTGCGGTCATCGTTAGTTGTCGGTGTGGAGAACGAGGCAGGGTTTGATAGGAGGACAGTGGCTGCTGTAATTCGGGTGCTGCAGTTGGTAAGAAGATATCCGACAAGGCCGATTGGTGCGCGGAACGCCCGCTGGCGGTCAGGGCAGGTTGGGGGCGATTGAGTGTTAGGGTTACGGGGTGGGCGCAGTTGAGATCTGCGAACCTCACGTTGGGCTTTGGCGGCGGTCATGCGGTTGGCTTCGTAGATCATTACGCCTGTCTTCACTGTCCTCTCCCAGGTCGGTTGGTCTTTGGCGAGGTCTTCCCAGTTTGCCAGGTTGATCTGCAGACGCTTCAGGGAAGTCTTCAATGTCCTTGTAGTGACGCATTTGGCCTCCTTGTCGGCCGGAACCCATGGTGGCATCTCCGCAGAAGAGTTGTTCGGGTAGCTGCTCGTCGTTTATCAGCACGAGGTGGCCGCTCCAGCGCATTTCGCAGCTGTCTCCGCATGGCGTAGACGCTGAGAATTCCTCTCCGTTCCAGTACACCCGTGTCTGGTATCCGGTCCTGCCACCTCAGCTTCAGTATCCGTCGAAGACAGCTGAGGTGGAAATGATTGAGTCTTCTCACCTATTTCTTGTACATCGTCCAGGTCTCTGCTCCATAGAGCAGAGCCGGCAGGAGTACTACCCTGTACATTTTCAGCTTTGTGTAGAAATGGAGACCGTGACGCTTCCAGACAGTGTTTTGCGGACGGCCGTAGGTTTGGCTGGCTTTGTAAATCCAGCAGGCCACTTCATCGTCGATCTTGGTGTTGTGGGAGAGGGTGCTGCCCAGGTTGGTGAAGTTGCCCACGACATGCAGTCGGGCGCCGTTCACGTTAATTTGGGGTTCGACATGAGCGGCGTCGGGTGGCGGTTAATGCATAACTATCGTCTTCATCGTATTGGTTTATAGTGGTAGAAGACTCGCACAACATCTGCCGCACCCTCCCCTTACTCACCAGGGTCCTGCGTCGTAACCAAATCAAGATGACCGGAGGCTGTAGAGGGCGCTCGGGCTGGCACGGAGAGAATCCGCACCTAAGCGTACCACTCCACGGTCCCTTGTCCACAACAAACACTTGACCGGCATTTCACACAGCAAGAAAAGATTGGGGGGGACTCGGATCCTACCACGTGTGAGGGCATAAAGGCCACATTAGGAAGTAGCCATTGCAGACTCACCCTCAGTCCACCAGTCGGCCACTCCACACAAGCGCACCTTCCGCCGACGGCGAGCTTCCAGTTATCCTGTTGGTTGGCAACATCCCAAGTCACGACTATTAGTCCACAGTTATAGCTTACATCGCCTCAGATTGTTTATGGTGAGGGAAATGCTCTGAGTCGTCCGCCTCACTCTATTCCTACTCCCAAGCCCAGCCACTGTCCGAGTCGGTCAGCCGTCTGATGCGCGGAATGGGCGTTGTGGCTGACACAGTTATTGACCTCGTCTGCGCGTGCCATATGCATGATCTGGCCCCCCGAGCACCAGGATTCCTCAAAAAGCGGGTGGGCTGCATGCATTTTACAGGCGTGAGAGTTCGAGGGGTCACACTGAGGAGGAGCCATTGCAGCCTGACTCAGTCCACCAGTCAGTTTCAACGCAAAAACACCA